GTCGTCTACTCGAGTACCACTCGACTACCCCACTCAAGTGGAGTGCTCTTGGTAAAGTATCCTTAAAGCAGGGGTTAGCTAATATAAATAGCACAATCCTGCACAAGCGCAAAGATACCTACCCACTTGAAATACCAAGTATGTAGATCGGCGTACATCGCTGCGAGTACAGGCGGCTAACAAGACTACCTTCTCGTTGGCACCGTGGGTTTATACTCGAATATTGCTCTCTCATCTGATCCAACGCGCAATCAACCAGCCAGTCGGATATTGAGGGCCTGGCATTCTCGTTCCACCTTCAGGGGCCATGATATTTTGCGTCCAAAATGGGCGTAGCTCCAGCTTTGCATGCAGCTGTGATGTGGTGTTTCTGGAGCCATCGCAACTCTTTTTCCTAGGCTATCTTTTTCCCTGCCGTCTTGCAACTGTCTAGAAGAGTTTGGCCGAGGAGTGTAGCAGTCAGTGCACGTGGACGCATCCTTCAAATGACAAGGGTTATCTGTAATCATGATCATGAGCAAAAACAATCCTCAAATTTCGATGGGTATCCTTTGAATAAGAATTCTTAACGCAGAGTTTTTCCGCCCATTAAGTTGTTCAGGTGGGAGATGCGTTTCAATTGATTGTTTTTCAGTATTTTTGGTGTCTTTAAAAAAATAAAAAATAAAAATCTAGTAAAGACTGCAGTAGGTACTATTTGCGATCGAGTACCTACCGCAAAATCTGGCGAGATCAATCTCATGTCAGTTTATGAGACAAACAACAATTCTTCACCAAAAGGCCGAGGGCACGGCCTAAACTCATCAGATTTAGGCCTAGTTTTTCTCAATTTGGAAAGGCGTCAGTATACGTAACTGACATGGGATTAATCTCGCCAGATTTTGCGTAGTATAAGACCGGACAACTGTATCGTTGAGGATGTGGAGTTACATCTATGCTGCTTCGTTCTTAAAACTGGTCACTAAAGATGGGCAAGTGTAAGTAAGCATTCTACTGCACATGTTTTAGACTCGGCCCCACATATAGTGAATGCTGGGATATGTTTTCCGCTGTAGAGTAGATATTCTTAATCAGTGAAGTGCACTGATCTATGTAGAAACATTATTGGGGATGCAGCTGAAAAGAGGTAACCTTGCTTTTGACCCTTGCTCCGTGGACAAGCTAGTCTCGTGATGTACCACCCTTCCCCCTATTTAGAAGGTTCTCAGGCTCCAAGACGATTTGGGAATGCGGGATGAGGGTGCCGAGCGGTAGGGAAGTAGTTACTTTACCTACTTTATCTGGAACTCTCCTCTGAGCTCATGAAACTCTAAGGGCATATAGTGGCTGGGCACGAGAACAGGACATAGCCTCATCATTAGTCTCTGCCCTCTCGTATCTCATTGTGAGCTTTGCTTAGCAGAATTCCAACACTTATGTAAGCGATTATTTGGCCCCAAATTCCCTAGTGGAGGCTGGGGCTAGCTCGAGTATGGAGGTCACCCCTGTGGAGATGTCCTCTCGGCGTGGCGTGTGGGTACGTAAGTGAGGGCCGGGATCCGGTGAGGTTCCCGAATTCCAAGTAGCTAGGCTCATGCCAAAGCTCCCTTTCCCTCCCATTGCTCCATATTCAACTGAACAAATATTCGAGCTTGATTAAAGCACCAGAGCCGCCTTTGAAACTCCAACTTTGGACGAAATCAACACCGACTTTCGTTAGCCTTCTCTTACCACACGAGTCACCAGCTATCCGTAGGGTAGAAACGCTGCGATTTACCTCACAAAGTACCTCCTGAAGGAATAATGGCAACAACAACAGCGTTAACCAACCGTGCTATTCGAAGTATCAAAAATGTATACTCACTATGATGGAAAGGCCCTTCTTGCCATTGCGGCACCTTTTGTTGTTCAGATCTGACAGTCAGCCGAGAATTCAGGAGCTCGAGTTCCTAGTAGATGCCAGTCTTCTAGACCCCATCGACCTCCAGAAGATATTTGCGATGCTCCCTGATATTGGAGCAACGCCAGCCACAGCCTCCGTGAACACGACACCGTCAATGATGCCTGTAGGAATACCGAAAAACGCAGTCGAACAAGCAGTTAAAAAGGCTTGGGGCAACCCCATGGCTCCCACAACACATGGCTATCAATCGAAGCCAGCACTCCCTGCTAGAGTATCTGAGAAGGTACTCGAGAAGGCAGTATCTGTTTATGTGCCTCCAGCGCCAGCATCTGGTTATGCTCCACCAGCGCAGACAACTGGCTACGCGCCGCCGGCCCCAAGCATTCCACCTCCACCCAGCTATGACACAACCCAAGTACTTGCAAAGGCGTTATACGAATATTCCGGAACCGATCCGAATGATTTGTCATTCGAAGCCAATGACAAAATTATCGTCACAAGTCACTCAGACCCCAATTGGTGGAGTGGAAAGTTGACGGAAGGTGGTAAAGAGGGTTTTTTCCCTAAGAACAGGGTTGTTCTGTTGAATGAGAGTGACCACAAGTCTAAGGATATAAATATGATGACCAATGTTGCCTATGGCGGCCCTTCAAATTCCGGCGTTGGTAACAGTCAGGATGAGTCCGCGGACAAGGGCAAAAACAAATTCCCGGGCGGTGATACTGGAAAAAAACTTGGAGGGAAACTCGGAAATGCTGCGATCTTTGGAGCAGTAAGATGAAACCCTGGCAGAGTTTACTGAGTAAACCACCGATTGACCGTCGCTAACACTTCACTTCTTTAGGGTGCAACCATCGGTAGCAAGATTGTGAATGGCATCTTTTAAGCCGACCTCTCTCTCCAATTCCTCGCTGTATTGAGTTTGTTCGTTTTTATATTTTGGGCCTAGGCCACTGTTGCAGTTTCATTTTTTTGAATTCGTGGGGGAAATTATTCATGGGATGCATTGGAGCTCGCCATGCTATCTTCCACTTTTGGTTATCTGCAATTTCCTTTTCCAAAACTAGGTGCTGGTTCTGGTGTTTAATGGGCCAGGAGTATAAGTCTTTGGCAGGACTTTTCTTATTTTCGACTATTAATTTTCTATATATCTAAGCTATGGCTTGAGAATTAGTCTACATCATTGTTTAAAATTCAAAAACATGAAGAGAGTACAAAGGAATTTTCATAATTTTTGATTCGTTATCCGTCGTTTTTTGGTGTTTTCGTACCCAGAGATTTTTGGTGTCTGGGGCTGCGTAGGCTAGATTTATTGACTGAGTAGAAACATTGAGTTTCAAACATAAATCTATTTCCCAAATGCTGTCAAACCCACTGATGGCTACAGTTTCTAGCGAAATATGTACCCAGCGCTGCCTAGCTATAGCGTCAAAAAATCGATATTCTCCTCAATAGAACAGGAGATAAGCACTTGCTGAAAATCGACCAAATGACACGGAAATCACAACCATGTCGGGTCAGGAAATCAGTTGATTTTTCTTGGGAGTAGCCCAGGTAGAAGTACTGGTCGAGTTCCTCTTAGAGATGAGAGGGGTGGGGGCAAGCAGAGTGGCAGGCAAAATTTCAAGGAACACAACGTAGTACCTACCTCTTTTTCAAATTCATTCCTTGTTCATTTTATCCGTGTTCATGTGGGAATATCCTCGAATTGGCGAGAGTGCTGATTTAAGGTGCTTCCGCATTTTGAAGGGATGCCCAATGTACTTTTTTCGACAATCGTAAGCTCCACGTTTCAGTTAGGGTACCGCCCAGTAGAGGGTATCTGAGAAACCTTCTCTAAAGTCTCACCACAAGATTAGTTGAAAGGATAACCCAACTTGATAGATTAGCTAGAGTGCGGTCATAAGAACCAGACATTCTCGAAGAACCAGGAGTGATCTCAGCCTGAGGCGCCAGACGAGGCATACTCACCGACAGGCGGTGAATTGCACTTTGTGTGATAACCACAAGGCATTCTCGAGCTGCATGAAGACCGAGGATCTGCCGAAGGATGTCTAAAGTCGGGTAGATTGAAGGGGGCGAGAATGTTGATGCGAATCCGGAGCTATCAGTGAAGGTTCAATGAATTCCGTCTAGTGAAAGAGATACTCAAGTAGATTTCGCAAGTGATGTGCCACCAGGGAAGGAAATGGCGCGTCATGAAGGGGAGTGTAATGGAGACAATTCCCTCCTTCAGGCGTATTAGTGGTCTAAGATCGAGTTGTGGTCCCTCTTTCGAGATTCGCTTCAAAGCCGTTTGTCTGGCTTGAAGTACAGATGTGGGTTGTATTCTTCCTATGTAGTCTGGAAGCTGTCGTGTTCCCGTGTTGCTGTGGGGCCCGTCTTGTCGAGGTAAATGGCTGTCTTTATTCAAAAGTGTTCTTGTGCCCAGACTCGAATTCAAGGTCCTTTATTCGTGCGGTAGTCTCGTTGCAGTCATCTTCCGTTTTGGGCTCGAGAGTAGCTTCTACCCGCCTCGGCAGTCTTGTGCCCTAGACCTTCGTTAGACTCGTGACCTTCGTAGTCTCGTACCACGACGTGCATCGTGCCCCTCCGGCCGGAGGCACCTTCGTACCTAGGTAGTCTCATGGGCCCTCGAGGAGGCTAAGGTTCCACGCTATTGAGCTTCTCGTTTCCAGTCTGTACCTCACCGTCCCTGATAGCCTCGACACCAGCCTCTTGGTTCGGTCCCTGACCCATGAGACTACTGAATTTTTACTAGAACATGAAATTTCAAGACTACTTGTTATTTGAGTAAACTCATGTCTCGATCGTACACACCTTTGGCCTCACTGGGGTGTGGTCTCATAGCCTCGGCAGGCGCTTGGAAGTCTCAAAGTGTTCTCGTCTCATAGACTCTCTTGCCACTGGGCTTAATTTGTTTATGAACTCAATCCTAACCGATGCGTCCCCGACGACCAGTCTCTCCAGTCTCGAGACTGCAGTCTCTCAGCGCTCGTTCCCAAGCAGTCTCGTGCCGTTCCCAGAAGAGTGCTTCCAAGATGCTCCTTATCAAAAATTTCTTGGCGTTGATACACAACAATAAATGAATTAATTGGCAGAAAGTGCAAAAAAGATACGGTACTACAAAGACTCGAACTTTGGACCTCCCGGTGAGCCAACCCCAACATTGGGAATTAACAGCCGGACGCGCTAGCCAATTGCGCCATAGAACCCGTGTTGAATTCTACCTATGTTCAAGAATAATGACGCTAGTGAATTAAGCGCTAGCAATTGCACTAAAGTTCAGTCGAGTTAGTCTATCACCTTTTATGGGACGAACGAACACACATCACGGAACCGACAAATGGTATTAGAAAACTTCTTAGAACCTGAGCCACTCAAATTTCAAACAAGAACCACACACTTGTATGCTACCGTGTTGGGGCGCCCATGTTAACCCCGCCTCCATACCCTGACTGTATCACAGGACTAGACTAGGTAGATCTATACAATTCAAGTCCGGTCACTTGCCCCGAACGACTCGGCCCAAGACTAGCAAGATCCATCACCAGATCAAATGGCGTTTAATGTTCCTTGCTCATCAGCCCCCACCTCCCACCGAAGCTCGAGTTCGGTGGCAGAGCTTCTAGAGATTGCCGAGAAGGTAGTTAATTGGCAGAAATTGAAGGATGTTCGATGAATTCTCATCTTTCAGTTCCCCATTTCTACAGGGCCCCTCAGATTCGAGACCAATACTCTCGTTTCATCCAATATGATCACTCGGAACTGGGCGGTCTAAATCTGATCACCCGGACGGAAATATGAGGAGGATGATTGTGATTTCCTTCTTCCTTATGACTTGCCATACTGCTCGTCCGGCCTTACTTTTAAACGCTGATAATTACGGGTATAGGAGAAGGAGCCATGGAGCGTTCGTTGATGTTTCCCTTATAACTTTATTTGGCTATAGATCGGTTCGATGTCGGCAGAAAAGGTAATTTTGCAGGAGATTGTTGTTATTTTGTTAAAGTATGTGTTTGGGAACTACATAGAAGAATGCTAAGGAGGGAAATGAGGTGACGATGGTGGAGTGATAGAGAGGGGAGAAGGGGAGATTGTCAGGTACCTAGGTGTAGAATGGTTTTTGAAAGTGCGTCAAGGATTTTTTCTAGAGATTGGGAGGTATGGAATCCGGGAGCGAGAATAAGAATCTGAAGTTGACTACTGAATTTTTCAGGTAGAAAGGAGATTGCGAGATTGGATGTAAGGTACGAGGCTACTTAGGAAGTAACGTCCATAGGAGGGACGAGGCTACGTAGGAGGGGCTGGGCGGGAACGAGACAGGTAGGAAACTTGTAAAGGAGGGTTGCTTTCTCTTCAATGAACGCTTGGTATAGTTCCGGGTCAGAAATGAGCGGACACCTCCTACGAAAAACCACTGTAGTCATTAAATATCCAATGCATATTGGTATGCTTCTATTAACTTATGTATATGTGTATAAGGAAGATACTGAGAGTGTCTATCCTTTTTTTATAATTTATGTGTGGAGTGAAAATAATTATTTTGTCAATGGTGTAAAAATAAAATTTCCATTTTAGGCAACTAGTTAGGATGAAAATTATGTATATATAAATTATAAAATATTACTAATTGGACATGAATCTAATTATATAAGTAGTAGTAGATTATTTTAGTATTTCTCTTGTATATCAACGCATTATACAATTTATATCCTACTCAAATATATAAAAAAAACCGCTTTTATTGTCAATTTTACATGTAAAATTACTTTTGAAAAATAATTTTAATGTTGAAGCATGTGAATTTTGGAATTAGTAAAAAAATTAAAACGGAAATTTTAGAAGTTTTGACAAGCACAAGATAGAATGCACATACCCTATTGAATCAACTTCTATTGATAATGTATTTCTATCTCTTTTTTTTCATGTTGTAGTGACTATTTGTTCTCTCGGTGTCCGCTTAAATGTGACCCGGAACTATACCTTTCAAAGGGGTAGTTGATGATCATGCAGGCGTATGATCACCTCCTACCATTTGGCACTGGCTCGAGCGCTCTCGAAAATTTAAAGTTTATAGATCGAAATAAAATTGTACTGACCATGAAACGAAAATATATTTACCAAGACAAACGTATCGAGACACTACGCTAAGAATCTTCGAGCACAGGTACATATACCGATGTGTTTGTTCTGATAGTTCTGGTATTCACCCTGGTTGCAATACAAGGCTGATTTGCAATTGCATACCGAGCTCACGTTGCGACATGCATGATCATGAGACAAGTAAGTAGTGTTGCAATTGGTGTTGGGCACGAGACTACCTAACATAGTAGTTGCAATTGTGTTGCAATTTCTTTAATGTCCGAATTGGGAATTATTACATAAGCAAGCGACACTGGGCACGAGTCAACAGCGACTTTTTCTCACAAAGTAGAACCACAGAACCACAGTTTAGTCTCAAATCACAGCGCGAGAGCAGAATCGACACAGGTAATTTCACTTCGGCCGCGGGTAGACTCAAATTCTCGTCAGGTTAATCAAGTGAATATGCTGCAGTAATTTTTTTGCACGAGCTCGGCAGAACTATCCCTAAACATCGCTAGCGAGCCACCTCAGCTGCTAGCTTTTCAGCGACATGTCTTGCCAAATACGGTAATATACAACCTCAGCTGTTGTTTCAGGCTGATTTGCTTTGATTCGAGACTGACTATTTCCATGGGAAATTCTTAAAGGAACCCCAGTGCACATTCCTGAATTATTTGAATCTTCCCTCTTCGTATCTCGTATCCTATCAAAGCCTTCGCGTTCCGCAGGCCGAATTCAACCTGACATATATATGCCCGTCGCAATTGGGTGGAGCGAGTTATGGCCGGGTAACTTTCGTCTAGACTCCAGTCCTGAATCATGAGATGTACCTGTAAAAGTCATGGTAATTACCCAAGCGATGAATATACAACCGTGATCGATAGATGTATCAACCATTTCCGTAGGAGGGGCTGGGCACTAACATCATTCCGTGGGCGGGATGTCACTCTGTTCTAGGTTCTGGGTACACAGAAAGTAAGTTAGACGTCGACTCAAGGCTACCAGCAGATAAGTCAACTTTAGCTAAATGTACCTTACAACTTGAGCTCTGTGCCATGCATGGCGAAATATGATCTGGTGTACCTGTTGTGAGAACTTGATCCTATGTAGGTAGATCTATGTGCGACAAGGCGGCTTTACTTGCAGCGTTCTATCTCGAGCTCTTGATGCATCGATGAAGATACCTGGGACTAAGTAGAACAATAATTGGCCAGCCTCGTCCCCAGAACATTGGTAGAACAAGTACGTAGGTACTTCTATCGAGGTGCACAAATCACAAATAGTTACACCACAGCCGCTTGAGCCGCAGTCATCGCCGGTCACATCTCACAGGTAAACAAACACATGTCAAATTGAGTTTCTGTATCTGTAGCCTCCCCCAAACCTGCCAATCCGTGCGAAACGGCAACCAATTGTAGACAGTAACCTCATGCGGTATTCGTATCATATCTAGATCACGATATCGATGTCAGCGAAGCTCCACTAAAAGGTACGCAAGTAGTAGTCGTAGTAGTCGTGAATCAACACAAAAAGTTGTTTACATTTAAAGCTGGTTAACAAAAACAAACAACAACGTCAACACCACTCACCAAACCAACAACAGAGCTCGAGGAGTAGAGAGGATATCGATGTGAACGGCCAGACATAACGTTAAACCTCGCCGATATGCTTCTCTATGGTACATTAGGGTCATTTAGGTGTAACAGAATATTTTGAGACTGGTAAATAGTCTCGTTTCCCTGGATACCGAGCATATGCATCGAGCTAGCCTCGCCCGCCCACAAACACCAAAACGCCGGACAGCTCAAAACCAGCGCAATCAAGAGCAACTGCAGCGGCACTCCTTCCAGAGCCGTTTCGCTGTCAACAACAACAAAGGAAAATACTCTGTGCAGCGCACATTTGGGCACCAAGGAGGGAGAGGGCATAATACTGCCTCTCGGTAAACACAACCATCCTTCCTTCATCATCTTCGGACCCACACTCTGTTCACACACACTGTTCGTCTTCAGATAAACAAAACAAACCTACCACTTTCAAACAAAACCACTTCCTACATCAATCCCCTACACTCAATACACATCTTCACACCCTCATCCTCATCTTCATCTTCATCTTCTCCTCGTCCTCCCGTCTCCCTCCTCAGACCAAGTCTTCAAACACTACAATCCCCCAAACTCACAACAAACTTTCCATTCACCAAAACAAAATCACAATGCGCACCAACGTCTCTGGTTTCTCTGGTGTTGCCCAGAAGATCCCTGGGTACCTTCAACCAACCAAGGCCTCCCTCGCTAAACAGGTGGTCTTGAACAAAGGTAATTGAATTCCGCTCTGCATGTTAAGTGACGAATGAAGCTGATGATGAACAAAAAAGTTGGAAAACTCGCATCTTCCACCCCAGTCTCTCCAGTCTCGGTCTCAAGGGTGCCAACTGTCATCACTCGCGGCCGCTCCACCGTGCCAAAAGTTCTCACCTGCACCGAGAAGAATGTCCCAGCTCCTGTGCCCAAGGTTGAGAAGGAGATCACTCGCGGCCGATCAACTGTCCCAAAGCTCATCACATGCACTATGCCAACTCCCGCTGCTGTGGTGCCTTTGAAGGCAGCCGTCGAGGTGAAGCCAGTTGAGAAGCCAGTTGAGAAGCCAGTCGAGAAGCCAGTTGAGGTGAAAAAGCCAGAAATCACCACCACTCTGGCCCCATCAGCACCAGTCTTGTCTGCAGAAGTGAAGAAGGTGGAAGTCATCACTAGAATTGCCCCACCAGCACCAGTACCAGTTGTGGAGCAAGTCACTCGCGGACGCTCGACCACTCGAAGGTACATCACATGCACGATGCTCATTGCATCTGCAGCGCCTTTGAGAAAGTCGACGGCCAATGTAAAGATGCCGGCAGCCATCGCCATCCACGCCACCCCAGCGCCAATGCCAGCAATTGTCGCCGTCCCAGCACCAATTCCAGAAATTCGCATCACCCCAGCATCACGTTCAACATCTCCAGCGGAACAGCAACAGGTCCAGGCAACGAACGAGATCGAAGAGCGCACGGCAGAGGAGGATTTTGGTTTTGGGAAGCTTGAGATCGAGGCTAAGCACACTGACATTGAATCTCCCATCCCCATTCAAA